TTTTCTTTTTCGATGGTCATCTTATTGCCTTTTTATAATCAAGACGTTGCCATTTTTAACTTTATTTTCTTTTTCGATGGTCATATTATTGCCTTTTTATAATCAGGTAATATTAGAAAAGAATTTTTCACCGTCGAATAAACAGTGAGTTAGGTATTTGCAAATTATTTTTATTTGCAAATAGCTTACGTATAAACGTCGTATATGTCATGTTAAAGCTGACAAAAGATGCACAAATGTACTACACTATATTTTTTCGATTTTCTTAGACCCTAAAACTAATAACAAACTGTTTTCCTTTATTTAATATGTAATTCTCTATTTTACGGGCCAACTGTTAAAATATTTTCAAAAAAGTCGTTATTGGTAAGATGAATGTAATTTTTATACATATATAGGTACGTTTAAATTTAATGCAAAATATAACCATAAAATTTAGTTAAGTTACACTTAACAGCAAAAGTCTGCGTACACCATTTCTTTTTTAAATATTCACAATATATTGAGAGTTACAATTAGTTTGTTATTATTTTATGAACAAATAATCACGCTTAAAACAAAATCATATAAACCGCGTTTTCAAACGTTATACAAAACAAAGTTAAATTTAACGATTTTTCAGCAAAATGTTCGACCTTTTGAACAGATTAAAAAAAATTAACAAAAGCGGTAGACAATCTGATTTTGAAATTGGTGTGCTATTGATATGACCGATACTGTACTTTCGTAAATATATCACTGAGCACCTGAAATGTGTAGTTATGCAGTGATTTTTCTAATCTCCTCCGTGCTTAACAGAGTTATAAAAAATCGGCGCGATTAATTATACTAAAATTTAATGGGCTATAGAACTGCATACTTATAGACTCTGATTTAAAATATTGAAGTTTTAATAACAGTTTCTAGAATTCTACTTAATTTCCAACACAGAAACGTGAATTTATATGTTTATGTTATAATACTTACGAGCCATCCTTAAATAAAAAAAAATTTACGAAAAATATTTAGCCTGAAAACCATTGGGAATATTCAAAATTCCATATATTCTTAATTCGATGCCGGAGAGTCTATGTATTACATTACAATACAATTTAACGCTGAGTTATCATAATTAAGCATTCAATATATCGGC